CTTTTAGCAATCGAGTTTTATTTTTTGCTTTAACTTTCAAGTTTTATTGAAGAAATTTTGCTAAATAAGATTTAATTAGTTATGTCTTCAAAAATAATCAAAAATTAGTCAACACTATTACGTAATCAACTATACTACGGCACGTGCCTTGCACGTGCGCTCACTATTTCAATTTAAAGCACCGATTCTGTACATGGGAGATTCTTCTTCAGATAACGGGTCAATTTAATGATTCGAGGATGAAAGGCACGTGCGCTCACTAGTTCAATTTAAAGCACCGGTTTTGTACATGGGAGATTCTTCTTCAGATAACTGGTCAATTTAATGATTCGAGGATGAATCTCCTTTTGCCTGTAACAACAATGGCTTGGATTTTCATGCTGAAATTGATTACTCGAAGGTAGCCTGGGCCGAGTCACACACCAGTCCCTTACCAGGTTGCATTGTCCAGCACCATATCAAGTACCCACCCGATGAACACTTCGAAAGAGACAAAAACATAGAGGGTAAAAAATATATATTATTAGATAGCATAAAATTGCAACTTTTCCATTTGGGAAAATATTGACGTCTTCTATTGGAGTAGATCTTTACAGAACATCTTTCGAGCCACCTTGCACGTAAAAATAAAATAAAATTAAACACAATACAAGGCACGATGGTATGCTGTCCATTTTAGTACTAAGAAAATAAACTTCACAAACAAGAGTCTTTGATGATCGATAAGATTACTGAATTTCTCATTTTCAATTTGCTTCGGATCTTTATCCCAATTTTTAACCCTGTTAGTCAACGTTGAACATGAGTTGCACGTTACTATAAAATGATTTATAAGATTTATAAGTGTTGTAAAAGTAATATTTGAATATGTATGAATGTTAATTAATTTATAATTAATATCAGGGAATATATGCGTGATAATGAATGTTAAATCGTTTATTTAATTTTCAATTAAGTAAAATTAAATGTTAATTGATATATATGGGATTGAATAATAAAATGCATTCTTGAATGTAAAATTTTAATTAACTTATGATTATAATTTATAATGCATAAATGAAGATGAATATTAATTAATTGAGAAATAATAATAGAAAATTCATACATTAATGAAAGTATACTGATCAAATGAATTTGTCAAATATACATGTACATTGATTGTAATTAAATGATTAAATAAATTAAATATATATTGAAAAATCCGATTTAATTCTATTTTACAATTTCCTTAGGGTTTCAATTTTCTTACCACGTGAATTGGGAAGATCTTGAACCAGTTTGCTTGCCCATTTCAGATATGAAAATTGTTTTCTCCTTTGATTTCAGTCAGATTTACTTCAATTTTAGAGGGGTCTAAAAAGGAACAAAATTTGTTTTGGATCCCTCAAATTCAAAACCCTAATGGCTTCTATTCTATTGGATGCATCTAAACAATACTATGCAACCAGCAGTCTTCTAGTGGGCTATGCTTTGTGTTCTAGCTTGCTTGCTGTGATTAACAAGTTTGCCATTACCAAATTTAACTCCCTGGGGCTCCTCACTACTCTCCAGTACTTAACTTCAGCTCTTGGTGTGTGGATCCTTGGAAAACTGGGGTTCTTGCAGAGGAAATGGTGGAAAATACCCGGTTGACCCGATCACTTTTCTACAATAGCCGTTGACCAAGTAAAAAAGAAAAAAAAAAGGAAAAACTAAAAAAAACTTAAAAGTCCAGTATTTTCCCATTTTTACCCTCACACGTGACTGCGAAGAGAGTTGAGAGAGAAAAAAAAGTATGTTTTCGAATTTTTGTTGATTATTTATGAAGAAATTGTTGTAAAATCAATTATTAATGGATGAAATG